TTGTGGTGTTGGTGAAGAATGCTGAAAGTACCATGGACTGCTAAAAGAACTAACAAATCTGTCCTGGACAAAGTGCAGTCGGAATGCTCCTTGGAAGCAAGAATGGCCAGACTTTGTCTCACCTACTTTGGTCATGTTGTAAGAAGTGACCATTCCCTGGAGAAGGAGATCATGCTCGGTAAAGTGGAGGGTCAACGAAACAGGGGATGGCCCTCAATAAGATGGATCGACACAGTGACTACAACAGTGGACTCAGGAATGGCAAGGATCGTGGAGCTGGCACAGGCACTGTTTTGTTCTGCTATACATAGGGTCTCTATGAGTCAGAGACCACTCGACGGCACCTAACAATAACAACAGGTCTTTGCACATTTCATTGTAATACTTTACTTTGACCTCTCCTGCTGCCCTTTTAAATCTTCTGGTCATCTCTTTTATTTCATCATTTGTTCCATTTGCTTAAGCTTCTCCCTTTTTAAGAACAAGTTTCAGGGTCTCTTCTGACATCCACTTTGGTGTTTTCTTCCTCCTATGTCTTTCTAATGACCTTTTGCTTTTTTCCTGTATGATGTTCTTGATGTCATCCCACAACTCGTTTGGTCTTCAGTCACTGCTGTTCAATGCATCAAATCTATTCTCCAGATGGTATCTAAATTTGGGTGAGATACACTCAAAGTCATATATTGGCTCTTGTGGACTCGTCTTAATTTTCCTCAACTTCAGCTTAAATTTGTATATGAGCAATTGATGGTCTGATCAACAATCAGCCCCAGGACTTGTTCTCACTTGATATTGATCTTATACATTGCCTCTTTCCACAGAAGTAGTTAATTTGATTCCTGTGTATTGCATCTGGTGAGGTCCACATGTATAGTCATCGTTTATTTCAGCCATACAATAGACAGGCTTATAAGATGAACAATAGTACCAGGAGGTACACACTCATCAGAACAATCAACCATAAGAGATCAAAGGGCAGCATTTGCCTAGGGATAAAGCTCAGAAGAAAGGAATTGGAAAGTAGGACAAAGGGAAATGGTAAACACAAGG